CATATATATATATATGTATGTGTGTGAGTGATAAGACACGCAAAACAAGGCCAACCAGTGCAAGCCACATAGGAGGAACTTGGTTTTCTCTGGAAGCTTATTATTTTATATTTGTGTGTGCTCTGTGAGTTTTGTTCTTCTGCTGTTGCCTTTCCATGGCTGCTTTTGTTGGGGCACCCAAGCTTTTTATTTGTCTGCTTTTTTGGCTTAACACTCTCTCTTCTCTTCAAGGTCTCTTCCTCCTCTCATCTCTTTCTTTTTTCCCTCACTTTTTATAAACACATATATATATACGCGGAACAGAATCTTGGAATGCCTTGTTTACATTTGTTCTTTGATTTCTTTCTTTTGCCATATTTTCAATTAATTACGAAACAAATAGTTTAGTGACGAAGTGTAATGTCACTAATATCTTCAATAACTATATGAAAATTGCTGCTAAATTAATTCAGGTGCGACGGATTTCTACGAATTTCGGTACCCATTCATCAAAAGGGCGAGTTCGTTTTTATCGTCGTCGTCGTTCTCGTCATCAAACACCGACGAGGTTTCGTACGACTACATAATCGTCGGAGGTGGCACGGCGGGGTGTCCCTTAGCAGCGACACTGTCTCGAAACTTCAGCGTGTTGGTGTTGGAGAGAGGTGGAGTTCCCTTCTCAAATGCCAACGTCTCCTTCCTCAGCAACTTCCACATCGCCTTGGCTGACACTTCCCCGACCTCCGCTTCCCAACCGTTTGTCTCGACCGACGGTGTCATTAATGCTAGGGCTAGGGTTTTGGGTGGTGGCACTTGCATCAATGCTGGCTTCTACACCAGAGCTAATTCCGAGTATGTTAAGTTTATCCTCAATGTGATTCTTGCTTTACCTTCTTCTATATTACAATCACTTTCAACCATCAATATGTTTTTAAAATGTTTTGTTTTATGTTTTTTATATACGAAATTTGAATCTTAACATCCACAATTTTATATAAATTATAGAACAAAAATACAAAAAGGGTCTTAATTGTACAAAGATGGTGGTCATGTGGAACATTAAAATCAATATATGTATCGTCCACAACCAAGCATTTATTAAGTTTTCGTAGGGTCCCCCTATGTATAAATTTGGGGTAATTCGCTTATCAAGAACAATTAATTAGGGTTTTCTGATGAATCGTAAAAGTAACGAGAACATTTATGATCCACCCACCTTCCTTGTTAATGAAGTTCTCCTCCTTAAATATAAGAGTACGTTATTTCACTGAATTTTTTTTCATAAAATATTTTACATAAAATAAATTAAAAATATTTTTGGAAAATATTTTTTATTATAAAAACTTAATATTATTATTTTAAAAATATTAGAATAATTTATTTAATACTATTTATGCCAATATTATTATTAAAATATTATTTCTATAATTTTATAAATAAAAATATTAACTCTTGTATATTCTATTAAAATAAAAATATGATAAATTATATTGAATATCTATAAAAATAAAAAATTTATATTATATTTTAAAATTATTAATAAATATATTTTAAGGAATTTTTATAATATTATTAGACTATTATATTAATATTAAATAAATAAATAAAAGTATTCACTATTAATAATTCAATAATATTATTTTTAAGAAATTAATAAATAATATAAATTTTATTAATAATTTATTATATATTATTAAAATAAGAATATAATAGTATCATATATTATTATAATATAATTGAGTATATTATTGTAATAATATTATTATATTATATTATTAAAAATATTAGTAAATATATTTTAAATATGTTAATAATTAATATTTTATTAAAATGATACTAAATATTAATACTAAATTTATAAAATAATATTATTTTGAGTATTTATACTTTGAAATGAAAAGTTCAGAAAATGAATTACGAAAAATTAAACTGTAATTTATTTTCCAGAACATACAAAGAAAATTCTGTTAATCAGGAAAATGTTTTACGTTAACCAATATGTTTTCCTCCAACCAAACACTAAAATGTGAGGAAAACATTTTTCGAAAAATGTTTTACGTGAAACAAATGGACCCTAAGTATTATTTTCATTTACTTTTTTTTGGCTTTATTAGTAAATTAACCCTTATTGTGCTTCAATTTTCAAATCGGTACCCGAAATTTTCTCGATCAAAAGTGGTACTTAAAACTATTAATTGTCTCAATTTACAAAAAAAGTACTAGTTAATAAGAATGTGACACATAATATGTTTTTAGAGGGATAAAATAGGATGAAATGATGGTTTAAGTATCACTTTTGACACAAAAAAACCTTAAGTAGTTATTTGAAAATGGATATAGTTTAGGGACTAATTTCTTAATAAAGCCATCTTTTTTTTAGTTTCCGTACCGCTTACGTGGACTTCCTTATTTGCCCTACACATTTGGTCCACCTCATTAGGATTATGACTTTATTAGGGCACCCCTCTTTTTCTTTTCTAGGATTTTTTGAATAAAATGTTTACCAAAAAGTTAAGGTATAAATAGGGGTGAGTGTTGAATTTTATGTTAAGCAATAAATTTATAAAATTTTAAAGAGAAGAAAATAAAATATTTATTGAAAATATTTAAATTAGATGAAAATTTAAATTTTTTAAAGTGTAACTGCTACTGCTAGCCCGTTCCTGGGAATAAAATATATTATTTATATTGAGATTCGAACATGGACTAAAAAGGAGAATCAATTTTTTTTATTGTTGGATGTTGCAGTTTTATTAAAAGAGTAAAGTGGAATGCAAGGCTAGTGAATGAGTCATATCCATGGGTGGAGAGACAAATAATACACCAGCCTAAACTTGCACAATGGCAAGATGCCTTCAAGGATGGTCTTGTAGATGTTGGGGTCTCCCCTTATAATGGATTCACCTACGATCATGTCTATGGAACTAAAATTGGGGGCACCATTTTCGACCGCTTTGGTCGTCGACATACCGCAGCCGAGCTTCTCGCTTCTGCTAACCCGAAAATGCTCACTGTTTTGGTATATGCCACGGTCCAAAGAGTCTTGTTCGATAAAACGGGGAAGAGACCTAAGGCGATGGGAGTGATGTTCAAGGATGAGAATGGTAACCAACATCAGGCGTTTCTGACGAATGATCGGAGGAGCGAAGTGATTTTATCGTGCGGTGCAATTGGGACTCCTCAGTTGCTGATGCTTAGCGGTGTTGGACCGAAAGCCGAACTCGAGAGGTTGAACATTTCGATGGTGTTGCACAATGAGTTTGTTGGCAAAGGTATGGCTGATAACCCGATGAACTCGGTTTTTGTCCCGATGACACGTCCCGTGGAACAATCTCTTATACAAACTGTTGGCATTACCAAGATGGGAGTTTACATCGAAGCTAGCAGCGGATTCGGACAGTCCCAAGATAGCATTCGTTGCCATCATGGGATCTTGTCCGCGGAAATCGGGCAACTCTCGACGTTACCTCCGAAGCAAAGAACAACAGAAGCCATTGAAGCATTCATCAAAAGAAAAAAAGGCATTCCACATGAGGCATTCAAAGGAGGTTTCATTTTAGAGAAGATTGCAATGCCACTTTCCACAGGCCACCTCAACTTGGTCAACACGAACGTCGACGACAACCCTTCTGTTACCTTCAACTACTTTGGCCACCCTCGCGACCTACAACGATGCGTAAATGGGATCCGGATGGCTGCCAAGGTTATACAATCGGACCGGTTCACAAACTTCGCGAAATGCGACAAACCGACCATGGAGAAGCTTCTTAACATGAGTGTCAGGGCGAACATTAACCTCATACCAAAGCATACTAATGACACAAAGTCCCTAGAACAGTTCTGCAAAGACACAGTGATCACAATTTGGCATTACCATGGAGGGTGTCATGTCGGAAAAGTGGTGAACCATGACCACAAAGTTCTCGGAACCAGAAGACTCCGAATCATCGACGGGTCCACATTTAGTGAATCCCCTGGGACTAACCCTCAGGGCACTGTCTTGATGATGGGCAGGTAAGCATTGAAAAAGCACGTTAACTATGTACAAAAGTGGTAGGGCAAGGGTACACTTATTTTCTTATCGATTTTTCGATCAATGCAGGTACATGGGAGTCAAGATTTTGAGACGAAGACTAGGGAAGGTTGCTCACGTGTAAGGAAGCACTGAGCACCGGCGTTTGTTCTTCGCCGTCGTAGTAGCACTAGGAAATGAATGCGATATTTATATGTAGAGAACTAACTTTAGCTTTTGCCTTTTGAATTGTGGTGTTTACTTATATATGATGGACTGTTCTTGTTGACTCTGCTCTGCTAATGGTTGGTGCCAATATTGATGAGGAACTGAAAAACAAGGAAAGAAAGAGGAAATGTTTTGGGATATTAGGCTTAAGTATGAGCTTGTTTTGATGTTTTTGGTGCCATATAATCATAGATTTAAGGTTCCACGCTCTGTTTCTTTCAGCGATTGAGTCATGTATCTTTCACGAACAAAGTGTACATGGTTCGATTTCGCATGCAATACAGGATTCGCAGCCATCGCAACAATGCTAGAATTATCACACCGTATCGTAGGTGTTGTATCGAGAAAGACATGCATATCACTAAGTACATACTTCATCTAAAGAAGTTTAGACGTAGCATCAACTAAACTTCGCTACTCAACTTCAGTCATTGTTGAACGAGAAACATCCTGTTGTTTCTTCAAACTCCAAGACAATAGATGCATAGCATGAAAAACACAATATACATAAATTGATCTTCGATCATCAAAGTCGCTTTCTTGGTCAGCATCCAATAAAACAGAAATTGACGACGACGACTGAGAACGCTCAATCATGATGAAAACAACATCGTGTATGTATGTACTTTGTATAAGCTATGTTCACAAAATGATGATTTTATTAAATAAAATAATTTGATGATCAAATTTGAAAAGATATAATAGATGAGTGACTAGTGGTATAATTTACCTTGATATCTTTGCTCGATCCAACCTGTTAAGTACATAAAGAAAGAAAAGCCGACAGACAACCATTTTCTCTTTGGACGCCAGAACAAAACACCTTTTATTTTCCTTTTTCTGTCTTCCTCCCCACACCATGACAGACAGAGTATACCCTTCATCCAAACAATCAACAAACGCCGCCGCAAACCCTTACTTTCCGCCAACTAAAGCTCAACGCTATGGAGCGGCCCGCCCTCTATACCGACCCCAAACCAAGCGCCACCGTCGTTCATGTTGTTGTGCTTGTTGCCTCTGGACCACCGTAGCTATCCTCGTAATTCTCCTCCTCGCCGCCATAGCCACCGCTATCCTATACGTCCTTTACCGTCCCCACCGCCCTACTTTCACAGTCTCCTCCCTCAAAATCTCAACCCTCAATATAACATCGTCTTCAAAACTCACCACCAACATCAACCTCAACGTAGTAGCCAAAAACCCGAACAAAAGACTCGTGTACATTTACGACCCCATCACCGTATCGCTCACCACGAACGACGGCATCGAAATAGGCGACGGCAGGTTCAGTTCCTTCGTGCATGGAACGAAGAACACGACCCATTTGAAAGCCGCCATAACTAGCAACAACCAAGAACTCGATGATGGTTCAGCCGGGAAGTTAAAGGCTGGTTTGAAGAACAAGAAGGGTCTGCCATTGAAGATGAAGCTTGACACCAAAGTGAAAGCAAAGATGGGAGCTTTGAAGACGCCAAAGGTTGGGGTTAGGGTTGTTTGTGAAGGGATTAAAGCTACTGCTCCCAAGGGGAAATCTGCAGCAACAGCTTCAACTTCTAATGCCAAGTGTAAGGTTGATTTGAGGATCAAGATCTGGAAATGGACTTTCTGATGAGAAAACAAAGAAGAAACGAAGGCTTGATGTTTGTTTTATTTTTCATTAATTTTGTGTTCATCATTATTTTGGGGTGATTATATGTTTTTGTAAATTTTGTGATTGATCCTAATGATAGGATTACATATACTTTTTAAATATATTTTTGGCTTTGTTTTGTTTCGTTTTTACTCGTTGTTCAATTGCAAATCTTTTCTTTTGAATAATCATTTGAAAATCTATTTATATACTTATTCTTATCTCTTTATTTCATAGATTGAATATTAAAATCATGACATTAAATTAAAATTTATTTTATAAAAATTAAATTTTATTATGATAATATCAAATCAATTAATAAAAAATTATTCCAGTTCACCCATGTCAGTTATTCCTGAAATTCCCCTTTTTCTATCATTTATTTTTCACATGCAAAAAGTGAAATAATTAGTGTCCATGAAAAAGCATGGGAAATGTCAGGTATGAATGGAAAGTAGGGCAAAGGGGGACTTTACCCTAATAAAATGTATGCTTTATTGACTGAAATTGTAATAATTCATTGGCTTTACTTAAATTCCAAGTTCGGTATTTTCAAAGTGTTTTACAATTAATTTATAGTGGTTGTCATGTCATTACCCGAATATGAAAAACAAGCCTTCAAATTCATTTCTCCTCTTAATTAATTAGATTAAAAAGGTATTTGTCAGACTTAAATATATTACGCGGTGAATATTTATATAACATAAATGAATTATCTCTACATATATATTGCAAAAATAATTAAGATATTTTGGCATAATTTATAGAAATATTAGTGTCGGTAGGAGATTCCAAAGGAGTGGACATTTATTGTGGTGGGTGATTGTGAAGTATAAGGGTCCCATTCTCGGTGTTTTCTGGATGGTGGAAGACTCTACAGCCCTCAAGTCAAGTATTATTATTATATTTTTATTGAATAAAAATAATATTTTTTTATAAAATATTTATCGCAAGGCAGATCGAGTTTGAAATTTATCTTAAAAAGATTGATCGAATTTAAGTCGAGTGAAGTCTCTCTTAACCTGAGTCTAATCAAATGAGTGTATATTTTTTTTGGTCAGATTTAGTTAACCGAAAACCCTAGTCAACCCAACTCATGTACATCCCTCCCTACTACTTAAATGATTGGGTAAAATACATTATCCAGTCATTCATCTATTTTTACAGTTTTGATTTAAATATTTAATTAATTTTATAAATTATATTTAATGTTATGTTTTGATTATTCAACACTAGAAAATAAATAGAACTATTGGTATGACAACTTCTTTAAATGATGATATGATATTATTTTATGGTGATACATTTATTATTAATTGTTTGACAGTAACAAATCAAAACGTAAAATTAGATATGATTTAAAAAATTAGTTGGACAACCATAACAAAATTATAAAAATAATTGAGTGACTAAATACATAATTTATTTTAAAAGATTTTATTTGTAGGTAATTAGATTTAGGATAATATATATATATATATATATATATATATATATATATATATATATATATATATATATATATAATCAATAATTAATTAATGGTGGTTAAAGAATATAAAATTATAATTGTGATGTTGATAGGTTGTTTACGTGAAGGAAATATTATATTTAATAGGAGAAGTAGTGGCTAACATGTAGGAGATAGTGAAAATATGGATATCAAATTAATTGCTCTTTCTTTTTGTCGAATACTGATTAGTCCTAAAACGCCATCTTATGCATGTTGTCGTCAACAACTTGATAGCTCATTCTGCTAATACTAATTCCAGTATTTAAATTTAATTTATCTGATTTTAAAATTAATTAAATAAAAATGGAGATGATTTAATTTGTCTGATCTTAGGGACTTTAACAGAATATTAAACCTGGAAAAGAATTATTTCAAATGATCAAATTACATGGAGACAAGAAAGCAAAATATAGACACCCATATAACATATCAAAAACATTTTTTTATGTGACTGTCATTTATTTTTTTCTCTCTTAATCGTATAATCATCACTCTTTCATAATTAAAAATTATTATTATTAAGATGACATAACTAACTGTGTCGATGGCACAAACCTCCTTTCAACTATATCTTCCTTCTCAAACTTCATCTCGTTGTGCCTTTCACATGGTATCCCATAACCATGCTTAACTCCATCGTCATCATTATTATCATCATGTACTACTTCGTTGTCACATTGTTTAATAAAACTCTGCTTGATGTTCAACGTCGACAAAGCTGTCGTCGATTCATGTATGTCCCATGAATTATCGTACTTTTCATGCAACTGATGTTGTTGTTGGTGTTGGTTGTCGTCTTCGTCGTTGTCCACCGTGAATAGGTCGTCGTGAGGTTCTTGAACGTAGTAATAATTCGAGTTATACGAGTTCAGTGGATCGCGTGGATTGATTATGTCACACCCTAGGGTTAAATCGTTATGATGTTGTTGTGGTGGTTGTTGTTGGGCGGCCTGTGCTCGGCATATGGCTAGTTGATGGTAAACTAGGTCGAGCTCGGCCTGGTTGTATTCGATTTGTCGTTGGAGTTCTTGTATGATCATGTAACACCCTCCGACAGGGTCGTTCGCACGCGCGTCGGATTGGAACACGATCGTGCGCATGGAGATGTCCTTGTCTGGAGGGTTGAGGTTCTTGATGATCTTCTTTATGTTGCTCACGCCGAACAACTTATGCGCGTTCTGGAATTGTCGTTGTCGATCATGAGGGAAATACGGGGCGAGGATGCAGTCCGATGCACACTTCCTACGTTGGTATTTACACGCAGCGCAAGCTTGCGCCGTATTGCTACTACCGGTTCTTGAAATGCTCATGTTTTTCTTGTGGAGGGATCTCTTTCTCTTTTGTTGTTGATTCGATTGAAAGGATGAGATATCGGATGCGTTGCCGCCGGCGATGGTGCAGTTTTTCTTTTGTATGTTTTTAATTTTTTTAAAAAGGGAAGTGTTTATTTCTGGAGGAAAGGAGGGAAAACAAGAGATGGAGAGAAATTAATGGAATGAAGGACATGTTGGTATATGTAGGAGAAAGGGTCAAGGAAGTGAAGTATCAGTTCAACAAATTTCTGTTAACTTCAAAACATTTAGTAACTTAAAATAGATTTTCATTGTTCTAACTATTTTTAACTTCGATTTCGGATTCAATTAACTCGTTTTAAAGAGGTGGCATTCGATATGCTCGAACTCGAATTCAATACATGAACAAAGTTCTATCAATCTTATTTGAACTTTCACTAGAAATTTTTATGAACATCCAGTTGCCACACCCAGACATTTAGATTCAGTCCTATACATGAGCATCAATGGTACCAAAAGGAGAAAAGGAAAATGGAAAGATTGCATTGGAACATGGCATTAAGAGTTCTCGAATTGCGAAACAAAGAGATGAATATGATCTAATTCCATGACTGCAGGTTCTCTGGATTCCGTTCGATCCTTCGGATTTGAACAGAGAGCACTCGACCTGAATGCAGCAAAGCCGAACAATCATCAGTCGAAAGAATCAAAGAAGAAAGCACATCTGGAGGTTGAAAGAAGCATCATACAAGAACAGCATAAGCAAGCAATTCTATCATAGGATAAGTGCATCAGTGACAACAAACACTATTGTAGCAGCAAAGTTCTCCAATAGATGGGTAGGTACTTGTCGCCATGGTCCGGTTTTAGTGTTCATTACTCGAAAACTCGTTCGACGGAAAGATTCGTTTTGCTTCCATTGAGCTAATGGAACATAAATACGAGCATTTACATAGTTCGGCATCTTCCCCTGCGCGATACGCGCTCCCTAGAACACTATAACACTATCTATTAAGAGTAAACACTCTTTTTCTTATTCCTTTTGCACAAAACACAAAAGCAATGCACTGTTAAAATTATAGCTCATGCAAACTGTATTTTTTGAATCAAAGATTGTTTACAATCAATTCATAGTCGAACCGTTTTCGATTTATAGCGAGTATTTAACTGCAAATTGTTTTGTATCCATTTTCTTACCTGTGAACTATGGCTCAGTCTTAACAAGGTCTTCAACAGTGCTTCTAAAGTTGGCAATCAAATCCCTTGAATTTGGAAGTAGAACAAATTTTACACATTGAACACTTGGAGAACTTAGATTGCAGCTGAAAATACAAATACAGAAACCAACTACTTACCTCCTTTGATTTAGTAATTGTTCACTTTTCTCTTGCTTTCGGTTTTGTCCTTCAACGGTCTGCAAATCCAACATCCAAAAAAATTTCAAGTTATAGAAAGGAACACTAAAATGCCAACACATGTTAAGACTTAAGAGTCTAGCATCTATGGTATCCCAACTCGGTCGTATCGACACGGGTATGCTTTACGCTTTCTTAAGCTTTTTCGAATAGTTCGAGTTTAGTATTATCCCGATATCTATGGCCGAAAATGTGTCGGAAACAAGATTAAACAAACGAAGAGTAGACAACATTCTCAGTAGGGAAAGAACTGAAAATTGAGACATTTTGCAGACGTCATCAACATTCAACCCCTAGCATGTTATGATATATAAGCAGACACTATAAATCATTGAAACCAAAACAAGATTGTTCAGCACATTAAAAAAATTGGGTAATTTACCATGTCTTTGGCACTAAGTGATGCACTAATGGAGTTTAAAAGCTGCTGGCACTTCTCAAAATGATTGTTCAGTTCATTTATCTTTCCAAAATCACACTAAGAAAATAAAAAAAAATCAAATAATCTACAAAATAAACACTAAAACCAAATTTGAAAATAAAGAAATAAACCCAAACAAACCAAAGCATCAGAATGTTGATCACGAGTTCCATTATCAATTGCATCACCCAAACTCTCCACCAACTGCAACAAACACAGAATAAAAATCAAAACCCTTTTTTTATGAAGAAATGAGAAGCTAGTGAGTGGTGATTCTGATTCTGCTCCACTTGATGTTGTTGTTGTTCTTGATTTGTGGGAGTAGATAAGTTACTGTGGGATGGGATGCTTGGGATCATAGTCGAGTTTCCTCCTGCTGTGTTTGGCTCCATCGTGTTTGCTTCAATGGCTGGCTACGGCTACGGCTACGGCTACCTCCCTCCCTTTGCCGCCATTGCCGGCGCACAGTTCGACATAGATATGGGGGCCCTCTCGCTACGGGCCCTTTAACCATTTTTCTCCAATTGCATTCTGCCACGTGTTATAATGGGATACGCCTTTAAAAATTGAATCCCCCCCCAAAAAAAAAAACATCTTTGGATAAATAGATGTTTTGCCACTGAACTTTTTGAAAAATTTATGTGAATAATATATTTTTAAATTATTTAAAAAAACATTTTAAAAAATATCATTTATTTCTGTATGAAAGTTAAAAATGTTTTCCTGTATTTGCACAAATATGTATTTTCGATATGTATTACACACGTTCCTTCTCTTTAGATTGTATTTTCGACATGTATTTTCGATATGTATTGTCCACTTTTGTAACTAAATACTTGTATTCCCAGTACTTTAGCAAGAACAAAGCTTGGTTCCCTCATTGTGTATAGGATAGTGAAGGCTTCCCAATTTTATGTGCCCATTGTATATAGGATTGGAACAATCATATGATATATGCCAAGTACAAAATGGAATCAATCATATGTGAACATTGATATTCACATGATTTATACATCAAACAACAAAATGTAGAGAAAGAAGAGTTGGGGTCCACCTTCAGTTTATTTACAATGCCCGGTCTTTGCCTTCACATTATAAAAGTGATCAGTGGAATTGTGAATTTGATCAGTGGGGTTGCCTTATAATAATTAATTTTATATATTAATAGTTTTATTCAAATTATATAATAAAAACTCAATTAATTCTGTATAAATTAATCAATTTTGTCCTAAAATTTAAATGCACATATGTAATGCTTTTCATTAGGGTGTGCAAATCCGTGTAATTGATTTTTCGTCCTGACTCGGATGTTGTGGGTACCTGGTAATCGATACCCGGATTTTGCAGGTACTTAGATACCGGATTTTTTTCAAATTATTAATTAAAAAAACACATACAAATTTAAATGTTCGAAACTTCGAATTACATAGTTCAATATCCAAACATAATTAAAAAATGTTAGTCCAACATCCAAACATAATTAAAAAATGTTAGTCCAACATCCAAACATAATTAAAAAAAATATCATGTTAGCATCATTGTTCATTTTTAAATATAGGTGACCAAAACATAATCAAAACGTAACGTTAGGTATAATTTTGAAATAAAATAATCGAGTGACCAAAACATAAATTAGATAATATATAAGTGACCAAATAGGTAGTTTACCCTAAATAATAATGGAGTGCCAAAACATAAATTAGATAATATATAAGTGACCAAATAGATAGTTTACCCTAAATAACAATCGAGTGACCAAAACATAAATTAGATAATATATAAGTAACCAAATAGGTAGTTTACCCTAAAAAAATCCCTAACCGGCTACTCTGGTAACCGAGTACCCAGAAAAATTCAATTTTATTACTCGGCCCCGACCTGGCTGAGTAATTTTTTTTAGAAAATTACCCGGTTTTTTTATGTTCGGGTCGGCGTCACAACGGGTTGGGTATTTTTGCACACCCTTACTTTTCATATGTATAGTGTTAATTCAAAACAGAGTCTATGAACGAATACAAACGAGAGTATATTTACGTTCGTTTGTTTTACTTTAATCAAACAAATGAAGAATTCGAACAATTAAACGAACAATTTTTCTCTCGTGATCGTTCGTTAAAGAACATGTTCATTTGTTAAAATGATAAAAGAACACAACGAACGTAAACGAACATAAATCACAACAACAATAACCACACAATGAACAATTTTTTTTCGTGATCGTTCGTCAAAGAATATAGATTGTTCGTGTCCGTTCATGTTCATTCTTTAAAATGATAAATGAACATAAATCACAACAATAATAACCACATAAAATTCATTAATATAAGCTACAACTTCATATTACCGAGCATAAACGAATATATGTGAATAATTTTGAACTAATATAAACAAATGTATTATAGAACATTTACGAACATAAATGAACGAAAGAGTCATTTATTTGTATTCATTCATTTAATTAAATAAATAGAAAATCTTTTTAATGTTCGTTCGTTTAAAAATAAACAAATATAAATAAATTTCCAATCAAATTATTCATTGAATGTTTAATTCGTTTACTAACTCTATTTAAAATCGAAGTAATAATATTGTTAGATATAAAATTTGAGGGAAAAAAAGTATTCGAAAAGTGTCTTCTATATTACCCTAAAATTGCCATGGTTTTGTGACTGGGAAGTGTTCATGGAGTTACTAACATCGGCGATGTTGATAAAATCGCCATTGGAGAAAGCATTAAGACCCAGAAAATCTCTTGTCAAGCCTTGACCATGAGCACCACCGCCACTACTTTCACGGTGAACATTGTTTCCAGAGCCATTCTTGTTCTTCTCATTCAAAACCCCACTAAATGCAATGTCATCAAACGATGCGGCGTCGAATCCAGTGGCAGAAGAAGATAGAGAGTTCATCATTTCTTGAAGAAGTGAAGGATGATGATGAAGAGGAGGAGCACCTGAGCTTGCCGCATGTTCATCATCACATGGTTGGATAAATCCATCGAAATCAGCAGACACGTGAGTTGGTTGGTGGGGTTGTCTCATAGTGCAAGCTGCTGATACTGGTGTGGATGATGAGCCAGTCTTGCTGCTCACAGTCGCACCCATCTGAGCTGCTTTCTGAAGCAATGCAGTGGCTAACATGTGCGGGGAAAGTACTGTTGAGAGAGTTTTTCATCGAAACTCGGGGAGAATATCGATGAAGACGATGAAGAAAGACCGGTCCATAACATTGGTTGAGTAGCCAGCCATGGAGGAACATCACTGAACCTCTGTTGTTGTTCTTGGGGTACTTGTAAATGAGATGTTCCCATGATTGTTCTTGAATTCTCCTCTGCTAATGCATCACAGAATGCTCTGTGAGTAATGAAACTATCCCTCCTGGAACAAAATTTGCAGATAAAATTTCCACAAACACTCAATTCATCAATATATATATGATTTTTATTGTGTTTTTACCTTGAGAAGATTGTACCACAATCACATCTATATTCCCTAGTGCCACAAATCTTGGAATGAGCTTTCCAGTCCGATTGAACCGCGTACTTCTTGGAGCATTTTTCACATTTCCACTTCTTCTCACCGTGCTTCCTTGAGCAATGCTTCTTGATTCCGGTCAAGTCGCTGAGTGCCCTCGATGGGTCGTGATGAACACAGGTAGTTTCCGGACATACATATACCATCTTCTTCTTCACTTCATCACTTGTTCTTTGCTTTAACTTCCATGGCAAGTTATGGCCTCTCCGGTGAAGCTGGAGGCTCTGGTCTCTTTGGAACCCTTTGTTGCAGATGTCACAGACGAATCTGTTTGTTGCCATCAGTGTTTTGGGTGAAAAGGCCACCACTTCTGCATCCGGGTCTGGATTTCCCGGTTGGTTCCTCTTTCTCTTCACCGGCTGAGATTGAGGTTGTTGATGGTTGGCGCCACCGCCGCCGGCACTGTTCCTTGAAGAAACACTTGCTCCGCCTGAAACAGATGACAAATTAGACATGTTCCTGTTGTTTCTACTGGTTGTTGAAGATGTAATCTTTTATTTAATCATATCTTCCGCTAAACAAACTATATATGAGCAGATTAAGAAGAAACGATAAACAAAAAGGATTTTCAGCTCATGAAACTGAGAGAGAAGTGTGGATGAGATGGAGAAGATGATGAGTTTGTAATGGAATCCTGCAAGAAAGACGAGAACCAAATAAGAGGAACCCCACGGTGGCTAAGCTCTGACGTTGCACTTTCTGTCTTTTTTTCCCCTTTGTTCTTTTCTCACCCCCATTAAATTAATCCTCTTTAATTGTCTACTTGCCATTAACAAAGCTTTAATGTTTCTCAATTTCTTCTACCAATGGAAGTATATATCTATTTCATTTTTTCCCAAACATCATTTATGTTATTTTTATGTGGTTATAAGTCATTATTAATAAAATTATTAGATTTAATAAAAAGAAAACGAAAATAGGTGTTGAATTTTATAGAATGTTTTATATTTTGCATGATTGATCCATTGACATACGCCAACTCAATCAAAATTTTACAATAGTAGAGGTTTCAAATAAAAATAAAAATTTTATTTTTATCATTTTGAATGAAAAATCTCATCCAAATAAATCTAACCAATTATGCCTAACTATAATTTAATTAGAATTAGTTATATGGTCAATGAACTAAACTCTAATTCTTAAGCCTACCCAACTTGCTTATACCCATGATATATAAAATATATGTATGCATGCATGAGTAAAATGACAATAATCCCTTTTCTATAAAAGACCACAATAATTAATGTATGTGTGTTCTTAAATTTGAATCAATCGACAAGGATAATTATATAGCAATAGCTTATATTCAGTCATGAACGTGGGCAAATTATTAGTATCATTACATAGAAAATCTTTGTTGGGAGACTCATCTACCAATGTCAGGTATATAATACGGGTTGATTCGGATTAATCAAAGCAAAGTCTTGGAACCAAAGAGAAAAAAATTATATATATATATATATATATATATTAAAATTTTGAAATTTAATTAGTATAATAATTATCAACTAAAATAAGTTAAAAAATTTCAATCAAATACTCATCCCTAACTATAATACTTTTCAACAACACATAAAAATTGAATATTATAATAGAAATATCGAATATTTATAATAGAAATATTGAATATTTATAATAGAAATATATGATTTTTTGGGTCGAATACCTGACCTGCTATTTTTTCAGAGTATATGGGTCAAGTCCGAGTCTCAATATATTCTTTAACCAGGTACCCGCTGACCCGATACACAATTTCTTTTATATATATATATATATATATATATATTATTTTATATTAGATACTATATTTCTAATTCCTAAATTATTTCACCTTAACATTCTAAATTATTTCACCATAACAATCTAAATTAGTAATTTTTTAAATTGTTTCATA